TCAGAAAGTGATTGAACTGAACTTTCTGATCTTTTGTTAATTTATTTCATTTTCTTCATCTCTGTGCTTCTAAATTTTATCTTACAGGTATAATTGAAGTCCTCAAAGGAATGCATGAATTGGGAGTAGATCCTGATCAGGAGACATATGTAAATTACGTGTTCCCATCCTTTGAAAGTGTGAAGTCAGTCCATACCATTTTGCAGGTGAGTAAAGTGTGGTTTTAATTTCATAATTGAAGAGAATATCTTTCTTTCCTAAAATTTAATGGTCACCAAGAAATAAAAAGTCATTGAGCTCTAAGGACTAAAAATGGTCCATATACAATTTTCTAAAGCTTTGTAAAAATATTAGTTGGTATAACATTTTTAGTGGTAAACTTTAAAATTTACAAAGGCAAAGCAACATTTTTCTTGTGTGTTGGAAAGACAGTATGCCAGTATCAGAAAAAATTAAAACAATATTCACTTCTTAATCCCACCCTAAAAGTGCAACTGCAATTTTCATGTTTGCAATATTGGTTTTCACTTCCATGTGAAGTTTTATAAATGCACTAATTGTATATTTACTAATCTCTATTCTTTGGTTTTTAAAAATCTTTTGTTTGACTCAAAAGCTTTATTTTCCTGCCAAATAGTTTTTGTCCCTACCAGAATAGGCAAGATGTTGATAGAGGCATATGAAGAAGTTGACTTGGACAGTACATTGGATCAATAAGGGTTGTATTTTCCACTTTCTAAAAACAGTGCTGTATAATTAGGAACAACATGAAAGAGCACTGAATAAGGAATATTTTTGAAAAATCTGTTTCCTAGGTGGTTATTCTCATAATACCTTGATTTTTCTGATAATGTTAGAGTGTTCCTTTCTTTCCTTAAAATAATTACATAATTACAATCTTTTTAAAGTTAGAGTTTATGTCTCAAGTATTTTTACCTCTCTCCCTAAGTTTCTTAGTGGAGTTTTTTATGCCTGTGCTATACATAATTTAGTGTTAAAAATTTTTTTGCAAAGTGATTTTCCCACATATTCTTGTTTTCCCAAATGTTTTCTTTCTTTGCAGAAATGTAGCCCAGGATTTTAATGTCTTCTCAATTACTACTTGCGCTTTCTCACTAATGACTAGGGGGAACCAGATGTAGTTTGGAAACTTATCCTAACTTTGGTTACATTCATTCTCATTTCAAATATCTTTTGCCTCTATTGTTGGAATTTCAGTGGTATTAAGTATTGTTGGCTCAAAAACAACTACTGTGTTAAGTGCTTAATTGAATCCACAGTATTGATACGGTTTTTGTCTTCAGCTATACAATAAAAATTACAGTTTTCATCTGTTTTAAAAAACTACATAGTATGTTGGTAAAGTAGAAAATACAAGTAACTCATAAGCTACCCAACTCATCCACAGTTCCTTGAGATTATTGCTTAGCATGTATATTGTTTCAGATGTGAGTATGTTTGAGAAATCTCTTTTAGCAAAAAGTAGATTATACTATTCTCATATTACCTAGCAACCTACACTTTTTTATTTGGCACCTTTCCATAACAGTATA